AAACTACCGCACTTTCTCTGGCGCTTGCTAACCAATATCTTACCACAACGAAAAACCAAAATTACACATATTGACGTCTTTATATGTTTGTTTTTTGTTGCCACACCCGTTCCTTTTCCATTAATCCTTTTGTTTCAGTTGGTTCCTGCAGGCAGTTGTTCCAAGTCCTCTGCCCCTTTCTTACAGGTAAGTGCTGTGTGTGTTTTATTATTGTTTATTTAGTCATGTATATCTAGGCAGTCTAGGAACCCACCTTAATTGGAGTACTTTGACGCAGTGGCGGGCTGCATACATCTTGGCCATTTATGTATGTCTAAATCTCCAGTGTTTTACATATATAGTACTTAGTTATGTCTCCTCTTGTTTTGCCTTGTATCTCTTGTCTTGTTTTATTTTGTCTTGTATTCCCAGTTCGTGTACAGTCCTGTCCTGCCCTGTTCATGTTTCCCTCATGTCTTGTGTACATGTTATGCTTTCTGCTTTCTGTCCTGCTCCAGTTCTGGGTTCTCCTAGTTTTGTCTTGTTTTCTTGTTTGGTGTCTATTCTAGCCTTACCTTGTTTCAGTACTGGTTACATGTCTGCTGCAGAGTCTCCCTATCCAGTTCCTGGAAGGTCTGCATATTGTCATCTGGCACCTGGGATCCGCAGAAGCTGAATCAGGGCCCTGGTATGTGGCTGCACAAATGCTGGTGCTCAACAACAGGGGGCATGTGGTTATCCTGCACCAGGCCCTGATAATTCATTTCCACACAGTGACTCCTACTATCATCAGGCACTCAGGGGTCCCGGTCTCTGTACCGCCACCCGTGACAGTATGGCCATAGGCCCTTATGGAGTTCGTGGAGTGGACTCTGCAGATTTCCTGATCTGCCCTGTCTCTATCCTGTTCTGCCTGGATTATGCAGCATACAAGAGTTCCTGTATCTGGACCAGTCTGCTGTAGATGACAGCCTCATTCCTGTTCAGTCTGTCTGATTCCTGTCTTGGAGAAGGTCTAACTGCTTAGCAGTTTGGTGGTCTCTGCAGGTGTCCTCTTGTGATGTTTGGTTCCTGGTTCTTGTTCTGATTCCCGTTATGTGGCAGTGCTCCTGCTGTGGAGTGGATCTTCATTCGTGGCTGATGGTTCCTTTACAGGAGACCTCTTCGGCTGGGGATCATTGCCTCCGGGAAGTCAAGAGGACTTCGTTGCAGGATCCTCGATCCTTTCCTGGTCTCTGCAGGAGAGCTGCTAGTCGCGCCCGGAGGTCGCTCCTTGAGAGGGGAGTTATGTTCTGCGGAGATGCCTGGCCTTGGCTTCTGGTATCCAGTACTCTTTTTACAATTCTTGTTTAGTTTTTCTTGGTTTTTCTGGTTTTCTATTCCATGTCTGGTTTTCTTTATGCTGGGTTTTCTGGGTTCATTCCTGTATTCCGTTCCTGGAATTCCCAGTCTCCTTGTTTCCTTTATATGTTTGTTTTTTGTTGCCACACCCATTCCTTTTCCATTAATCCCTTTTGTTTCAGTTGGTTCCTGCAGGAAGTTGTTCCAAGTCCTCTGCCCCTTTCTTGCAGGTAAGTGCTGTGTGTGTTTTATTATTGTTTATTTAGTCATGTATAGCTAGGCAGTCTAGGAACCCACCTTAATTGGAGTACTTTGACGCAGTGGTGGGCTGCATACATCATGGCCATTTATGTATGTCTAAATCTTGTTTTATTTTGTCTTGTATTCCCAGTTCATGTACAGTCCAGTCCTGCCCTATTCATGTTTCCCTCATGTCTTGTGTACACATTCTGGGTTCTGCTTTCTGTCCTGCTCCGGTTCTGGGTTATTCTAGCCTTGTCTTGTTTTCTTGTTAGGTGCCTATCCCACTCTTGCTTTGTTTCTGTACTGGATACATATCTGCTGCAGAGCCTCCCTATCCAGTTCCTGGGATGTCGGCATATCATCAAGCTCCTAGCTCTTGGGATCCACAGTAGCTGCATCAGGGCTCTGGTATGTGATTGCACAAACCCTGGTGCTCATCACCAGGGGGCGTGTGGTTACCCTGCACCATGCCCTGAATGTCCATTTCCACCCACTGACTCCTAATATCAAGATCAGGCATACTGGGTCCCGGTCACCGGACCGCCACCCCTGATACGGGGTCACAGAGCTTTTTATTATTAATTGTGTTACTTAACTACAGGGCATGAATCTTTAGCATGTCTAGCTTACTTACCTGCCAAATGCTCTACCTATACTCTCGAATATTTTCAGTTTCATTTTCGATTATAATACTTTAAATAACGCAATAAGGGCACTTGTCTGCAACAAATTCTAGCTACTCAGAGCATTGGTATGTTATTTTCTTTTACCAATCTTGGATACATGTTTTAATAACCTGTACCTGCTTGATTTTGCTAGAATGCCCATGACTAATCATTACCATATCGTCAATGGGATTGTTTTAATGCTAGTTTCTTTATTAAAACTGACTTCGGTTTTCCATTAGTTATGGTCACCACCTTTCCTGGAAAAATATTTAATCATCCCATCGATGATATACTGCATTTATGAGTGTTGAGTCTAACTCTAGCAGTCTGTGTTGCCGTAACTAGGTGCAACAGCTTATTCCGTCACTGATTCTAAATAAAACATTGTCCTTCTTAATGTATATTCCACTGTGTCAAACATAAACTGATTGGGACTTGAAATTTTATCTACATCAATGTTAAGATTTACACAACCTCTGGCAGAGAATTTATGTCAACCTAATGGACCCAGTCGATAATCAAAGACATATACTGACAAATGGCCTAGTACTGCATCTTTCTTTACTAGATAGAGATCTTATCCTTGTCTATAAAAGTCCTTCTGACAAGTCCTCAAATGGGGTAGTGAATTAACCATTTGACCTTCAATTTACTCTACTGGACATTGTTTGTTGTTTATATCCTTTACAGAAAATTGTATAATTCATTCCACTTTTCTTTTCAATGTTATCATAAAACTCTCCTGGTAAAATGTCAACAGCCCAGCAGAAACATGATTCACTGTTAATGGAGCATTTACTGGATGACTTATGACATTAATAAGGGGTTGTGAGTTAAAGGGATGTTTTAATGACCATAACCACTACAGTTGATTGTTCTAAAACTGTATCATAAAGAAATTTGTTGTCACAACTAAATAAAAATTAGAAATATTATTTGAATATAATGTATTTTAGAAAATATAGTATAGTTAATTAAAAATATTACTATATCTATTAAATATACATATGGGTAGAAGCATTAATGAGGACATGTGGTTTAGTCAAGAGAATCTCCCAATAAAGGGAGGCCATTTGATCAAGTTGCATGATACCTTTAACGAACAGGAGATTAGGTTGAAATCTGTTTCTTTATTAGTTAAAACGTTTGGGTCTTTGTTTTCTCCTGTATTTTCTATTGGGATTTTAAAAGCAGTGCCACAACTTTTACAGTAGGTTTGTGGAGGATCGGCTGAGTTTAGCCCAACAATTAGAGGGTCACAGTTTATAATTATAGTTCCATCGTCACTGAATAATTTTTAATTAAAAAAAGCACAACTAATCTCTTTAACCCCTTAACACCGTTACAGCGTTCTATGCCGTCCTGGCTTTAAAGGGCTTTAAAGCCGTTGTGGCGGCATAGAACGCCGTAACAGCTTTTAGCCCCAGGAGGTCCTGCATACTTACCTCCGCCGTGATCCTCTTCTGGAGGGCTTCCTGACAGCCCAGGCAGCCCTCCTCCGGCAAATGAGGCCCCTGGGAGCCATGTGATCGCTCTCAAAGAGCGATCACATGGCCCCCTATAGCTGGCTGTGGATCTGCCAGCAGGAGGACTGTCTGAAATATCACAGTCCCCCTGCTGGTGGGAAAGTAAAAAAAAAAAAAAAATTAAACATGTTAAAATAAAATAAATATATATATATATATATATATATATATATATATATATATATATATATATATATATATATATATATATATTATATATGTAACGTCATACAAAGTGTATTTTAATATTAATATAAGTACATATATTAGTATTAAAATACACTTAGAATGACGTTACATATATAACATGTATATATATTATATATATAATAGATATATACACATATATTATATATATATATATATACGTATAATTACAATAATAAATAAATAAAATAATAAAATAAATAAAATATTGAAACAAAATTTAATATAAATTATATATGTAATTGCATTCTAACTGTATTTTGTTATTAATATATATATATTGGTAACAAAATACACTTAGAATGACATTATATATATATATATATATATATATATATATATATATATATATATATATATATATATATATATATATATATATATATATATATAAAATACAAATAACCGCAAATATATATATATAGATAAATACATATAATTACATAAAAGATTATATTAGTATACACGTAGAATTTAAATACCTATAAATGCATATATATTAAAATTCTACGTGTATATTTAAGTAATCTTTTAACATAATTATGTGATTTGATTAATTAAAATTTGATTGACATGCCTGACAACACAGGGAGAAAGTGCAGTGAATTTAATTCGCAAGCAATATATTTGACCCTGTAACTCTCCAAGACACCATAAAACCTGTACATAGGGGGTACTGTTTTACTCGGGAGACTTCGCTGAACTCAAATATTAGTTTTTCAAAATGATAAATTGTATTACAACCATGATATTTTAAGTAAAAGTGAAATTTTTTGCAATTTTTACAAACGAACGGCACTTTTATGGACTATATTATTGTTGTAATATGTTTTACTGTTTTAAAACCCTAATATTTGTGTTTAGTGAAGTCTCCCGAGAATAACAGTACCCCCCATGTACAGGTTTTATGGTGTTTTGGAAAGTTAGAGAGTCACATATAAGGCTTGCATTTCCTTTTTTTTGACATTGAAATTTGCCAGATTGGTTATGTTGCCTTGAGAGCGTATGGTAGCCCAGGAATGAGAATTACCCCCATGATGGCATACCATTTGCAAAAGTAGACAACCCAAGGTATTGCAAGTGGGGTATGTCCAGTCTTTCTTAGTAGCCACTTAGTCACAAACACTGGCCAAATATTAGTTTTTTGCTTTTTCACACAAAAACAAATATGAACGCTAACTTTGGCCAGTGTTTGTGACTAAGTGGCTACTAAAAAAGACTAAACATACCCCACTTTCAATACCTTGGGTTGTCTACTTTTTCAAATGGTATGCCATCATGGGGGTAATTCTCATTCCTGGGCTACCACATCGTCTCAAAGGTAACATTACTAATCTGGCAAATTTCAATTTGAAAATGGAACGTTCTATATTTGACCCTGTAACTTTCAAAAACACCATAAAACCATAGGCGTGCGCACGGGGTGTGCCGGGTGTGCCTGGGCACACCCTAATCCCGCGGCACGCCTATGTGTATTGAGACCGGCAGGGGAGATCTCAGGATCTCCCCTGTCGGCTCAGGCAGAGCCGGCGCTATCCGAGCGCCGGCTCTGCTCTCAGCCTCCCTCCCCACCGGCCCACATGCAGGGAGGGAGGCAGGAGAGGACCCGGCGGAGCTATTGCCGGCAGCTCCGCCGGGTTCCTCTCGCGAGATATGAGCGTTGCCACGGCAACGCTCAAATCTCGCGAGAGTGAACTCTAGCCCCACAGGGGGCTAAAGTTCACTCTCCACTGGACCACCAGGGATCACAGCAGCAACAAGGATCCCCTCCTCCACTGGACCACCAGGACCACGATCCCCCCTCCCTACAAAAGGTAAGAAGGGAGGGGGGATAGCAAATAATGTACCCCCACCTCCACCCCCACAATCACCCACCCACATACATCACCCACAGACATACATCACCCACAGACATACATCACCCACAGACATACATCACCCACAGACATACATCACCCACAGACATACAGCACCCACAGACATACACAGCACCCACAGACATACACAGCACCCACAGACATACACAGCACCACACAGACAGCACAGCCCCACAGACACACACAGCACCCACACACATACAGCACCCATACACAGCACCCACAGACATACACAGCACCCACACACATACAGCACCCACACACAGCACCCACAGACATACACAGCACCCACAGACATACACAGCACCCACAGACATACACAGCACCACACACATACAGCACCCACACACACATACAGCACCCTCACAAACACACACAGCACCCTCACACACAGCACACAAACAGCTCCCTCACACACACACAGCACACTAACAGTACCCTCACAAACACAAACAGGACCCTAACAAACACACACACAGCACACTACCAGTACCCTCACATACAAACAGCACCCTCACACACAGTACATTAACAGCACCCTCACAAGCACACACACACAAACAGCACCCTCACACACAGTACATTAACAGCATCCTCACAAGCACGCACACACAAACACCCTCACCCACATAGCACACTACCAGCACCGTCACACACACATCACACTAACGGCACCCTCACACAGCACACACACACACACACACAGCAGTGTGTGTATGTGTGTATATATGTGTATGTGTGTGTGTGTATATATATATATATATATATATATATATATATATACATATATGCGGCGTGTGCTTGTGCTTTAGGGTGCACACCCTAATGCAATAGGCTGCGCACGCCTATGCATAAAACCTGTTAATGGTGGGTACTGTTGTACTTGTGAGACATCACTGATTACAAATATGTGCATTTGTTTGTAGTAAAACCTAACGGTATTATGACAAAATTATTATTACATTTTATTCATAATAGATTATGTTCCATATATGAATAGTTAATGATAAATTAAAGCCCTGTTTCTCCTGAACAAAATGATATATAATAAGTGTGGGTGCACTTAATGTGACAGCGGTGAATTACGGTTGAACAGACATATAGCGCAAATTCCAGTTTTGTTTACGTTTTGTTTTGACTCCATCCTGAAGGGGTTAAATATAGCAATTTTACTTTCAGGAGTCACCGTTGTTTATATTTTAACAATTCCAATTTAAATATACTTGCAATTCCAATTTAAATATATTTTCTCTTTATACTGCCTCTCTTGGCAAACTTATTACCTCATTTGGTTTCCACTAACACCTGTACGCTGATGACACCCAGCTATATCTCTCCTCCCCAGACCTCTCCCCTGCTGTCCTGCAACGTGTCACTGCTTGCCTTTCTTCCATCTCTGACTGGATGTCCTCACGCTTTCTGAAACTTAACCTCTCTAAAACTGAACTCCTTGTCTTTCCCCCTCCTAATACTGATCCTCCTCTCTCGCTCTCCCTTCAAGTTTGTGGTACCAACATCAGCCCATCCTTGCAAGCGCGCTGTCTTGGCGTCATACTTGACTCTGGTCTCACCTTTGAGCCTCACATTCAGCATGTTGCCAAATCCTGTAGATTCCATCTTAAAAACATAGCCCGCATCCGCCCCTTTCTTGCACCAGATACTACCAAGGAGCTTGTCCATGCTCTAATAATTTCACGCATGGATTATTGTAACCCTCTCCTGCTTGGTCTTCCCAAAAGCCGTACTGCACCCTACAGTCTGTAATGAATGCTGCTGCTAGACTGATTTTCCTCTCTAGTCGGTTCTCTCACACCTCACCCCTCTGCCAGTCCTTACATTGGCTTCCTGTGTGCTATAGGAGTCAATTCAAGGCACTAACTCACACCTATAAAGCACTGAACAACTCTAGCCCCTCTATATCTCCTCACTGATCCACAGGTATGTCCCTTCTCGGTCTCTCCGCTCTGCCCGTGACCACCTCCTGTCCGTTGTCCACACCCGTACGGCCAACTCGCGCTTGCAGGACTTCTCGCGGGCGGCTCCCTTCCTATGGAATAGCCTGCCTACCGCCATCTGACTCTCCCCTAGTCTTGCATCTTTTAAGAAGTGCCTTAAAACCCATCTCTTTAGGAAAGCTTATGGCCTCCAAGACTAACCCCTACCTCACATACCTGTCTCTTGCCCTCTCCTAAAGGGCAGCCCACCTTATTTGATTGCAAATTCCTGTCCTAATGTGTCTTACACCCCACCTCCTATAGAATGTAAGCTCGATTGAGCAGGGTACTCTTCAACCTATTGTTCCTGTAAGTTTATTTGTAATTGTCCTATTTTTAGTTAAATCCCCTTTCATAATATTGTAAAGCACTACGGAATCTGTTGGCGCTATATAAATGGCAATAATAATAATAATAATAAATCACAAATGATGAAAATGATTGCACTGTTCATGTTCGGTCACAGATGTGACTAAAAGGAAAGCTAATAGATATATGTATTTGAGAGAGATGGAAATTGTTTAAAGGGACACTCCAGACCCCTAAAGCATGGTAACTCCTCTTTTTTTCATATTACAAAAAGTGCACATTTCAATAGAAATTGGTACTTTAGAAAAATACCTTGTTACACTCCCTGGCTGTCAGTCAGACAACGTGTCTCACGTGTGTGACAGCAGTTGTCAAGGTTGACCTCGCTGGCAACTTTACCACCCGGATCCCTATGATACCAATGTATATACGATGATAGCACCATAGCTGTTCATCCGTGGAGGGGGGCCTCTGACGGATAAGTACCTCTTTCGCTCGTATTTTTGCTGATATTCCTGTTTATAGGTTTACATTGTGTTTCGTGGATTTTTATACACTTTGTATTCCCTACTCCTTTTTGAGGTCCGTTATCCTACGCCCCCTTTTTCACTGTTTAGGGGATATGACCTATTTTTAGGAGTTTGAATACATTTTTACTGATATCCTTTTTATTCTGTGCATTTGTCTACAGTTGCCCTTGGATAGCAACTCTGTTGCAGATGTTTGTACAGCATTGCACACTTCGTTGCTATCTTGGGCATTTTCTTTAACTAATACCAGTGTATTTATATTATCCTTGGAAATGATCCATTCTGTCTATTTACATTTAATGTAATAAATTGACTATTATATTATATTTTTGCATTTAGATAGATTCATCTATAATTTTTTTGGTGCACACACACTCTTTCCATTTATTTATCTATATAACCAAATTAAGCTGCTGTGTTGGCCGGGGCAATATATGCTGTATATATACCGCCATATGCTGCCGCGCTATATATATATATATATATATAATTTTTTTTTTTCAATTGTATTGTTGTGTGTGTGTGTGACCCACCACCCTAGTATTTTAAAAAGTCCAGTCTGAACTGCGTCCAATTGTTCAACAATCTAGGAGGGAAAAAAAATCCTTCTTGACCCCATAATGGCAGTCAGATATCTCCTTGGATCAAGAAGCTATTACCCCACTAATTAAAATTATATTATTACTATATTGGATGTTTTTGCAAGTATTTATCCAATTGCTGTTTAAACATCTGTATAGATTCTGACAAAACCACCTCTTGATTGATGTGGTATACTCTTTAATATTTGTGGATACGCTTTTCAAATTATTTAATATTTTTGGATAAATCTTTAAAAAATATTTAATATTTAAAAAAATATTTTAATGTTTTGATATGTTTTTTATGTATTAATATTTTATAATTTATTATATATTTTATATTTTTAAAAAGTCATTTTAAAAGTTTATGTAGGTTGTACCTCGCATGACCGGACTTTCGGCGACTTGGCAGTGTTTGAGGCACTTGCCTCTGCATACCCTCCTTTGGCACAGTGTCAGGTTTCCCGGGTTTTGTCGTAGCTTTGCCGTGTTGCAGGTACGGGTGGAGTAGTGCTGCCGTGGCTGACCTCTGCTTTCTGCACTGGAGTTGATCAGGTGAGATAGGAGTGTTGGATCTGCAGACTATGCGGGTCCAAAAATCTCTGCATAACTTTTCAAATCTGGCTTCGAAGCCCTGTGCGCAGTCCAGGCTATCTAGATTTGCATGTTGCTGTGAAGGCCTCCGCATGGTGGCCATCTTTAATCCACCACGCAGTCTGAGACTCCACCGATTTTAGGCTATGTCGGTAAGTGGTGTGCCCAGTGGGGACCAGGATATCCCCCACCGGTCCAGAGGGGGGGCAACGGGGTGTCTGTGGTTGTTCTTCAAGATGCGTGGTCCCCAGCAGGAGATCGTCCGCCTCTCCCAGCCGTGAGGCCCGCAATCCTGGTAGACCACAAGGCCAAAAGGCAAAATACGCTTTCAGGAGCTGGTAATTTAGGATCCACAATTTCCCTGTCGTTTAAGGTTCTTGTCAAGCAAAATTC